ATTTTGATTTATTCTCAAGAAGCACTTTATTTCCTTTTCCTTTCATAGATCACAAAAATGAAGCCATCTTATTATAAGAGGTGCAGCCATTCCAAGAAAGAAACCATGGGGGGGGTTGTTTTCTGTTTTGTTTTTGTGTTTCTTTAAAGGAAAGAGGGATCCACTGCAAAGTTGAATTGACTTGAATTGAAATTTAGACTTGTGCAACATTCTTCTGCCTGTCTACAAAGTCCAAGCGCCCAGGTTGCCTGCTGTGTTTGTATACACCAAAAAAAAAAAAAAAAAGGCAAAAGAAGCAAAACCTGTTGTGACTCAAACTCTGACTGCATTTTTAGGCAGCTTATGTTTGTTTTTGTAGCCCATGTGCACTTAAAAGTTACTTTCTAAATTAGTATTTTTTTTTTTTCACCGACTGCAGTGAAGAAAATCCTACCCAAGCAAGCTGATTTTTCAATGAGAATCAGCCTTATGAATTTTAAGAGTCAATTAATCTATTTTAGATGGTTCCCGCTGGTCTTTAATGGTAATGTAGTTGATGTAAATGATTTGACCAATGATGCAAAAATTAGTTTTGCTGAGAATGGCTTTAATTACCAGGAGGCCCAGAATCTCTGGTTGACTGCTCCAGGATAAGAGCATAGACCAGCAGGGACAAAAACTAAGGAGCATGGGCTATGATCTGTACTTTTATTCCAAAAGGCAGTGCAGCTGGGATTTCCACTCCTGGGAAATGACTGTTCTGGCATTGCCTTACCTGTTTTCAGAACCAGGGTTTGGGTTTTCAATTTAAGTGGACAAAATGCTTAAGTGACTGTTGGAAATGAATGAATTGATAGCCTGTGAGTAACGACTTAGGGTCTGCTGTTGGCTGTCTTGGGGCTTTTAGAGATGTTTTCTGACCCAAGAATACACAGTGAACTCTCCCAGATTTCCCCCCTTCCCCAACTGCTCTTGTAGGATTTTCATTTAAGAAAAAAAAAAATTACTTAAATTGAATCGATCCTACTCTAGGCTAAGCAAAGTGAACATTCAGCTTGTATCCTACTGTGCAGATGGCACTTTGATAGCGGTCACCTGACTTCTCCAGCCCCTAAACCAACTATTGCCTTTGACCATCGGCTTTTGGTTCTCACTGTGTGAATATGGTGAGGATCTAGTTCAATGCAAGGACTGTGTAACCAAACAGCTTTCTTGCATTGTAGTTAACCTCCCTGCTCTCCCTCCCTCTTCTCCTTTCTCACTCAGGCCATCCATTTGTGATTGCTCAGCAGTGCGGACGTTCAAACAGAGCAGCAGGATGTCGATGTTGTATTGAGTGTCCATATGATTGCCACTTTGTTTGATGTACATCTTGCGTTCATACGCATGGAAAGCACTCATTTGCGCTTTCCTCCTCTGCCTTCCCTCCCCCTTCCTCCTTTGCTGTATATATTGTCGATTAACTACTGTACCTAACAATTTCCATCCTCCATTAGGCTGCCGATGTCCTCGTACAGTCCCAAATAAATCAGAGATACGTGCTCCCCGGCAGGCGATGCAGCAAGTAGCGCAGCCTCAGACGCTGACAAGTGCAAGGGGACAGGTAGACCTGCAGAAGCGACAGAGATTGTTGTGTTCAGAGTAACAATGTTGTCCTAAAGCTGCTAATTTTTGTACAGAGGATGTGGACATTTGGGTTCTTCTTGAGCCTGGTAAGAAACACTGGACCAGTTGATGGTAGTTTTGCCCAAAGTTACACTACTGGGGTTTTTTTTCACCTTTGCTGGACTTGCTGTGACAGTGAGAGCCTGATCTTCCTTACGCTCAAGTTTTATTGTCGAGCTTGAGCTCGGCTGCTTCTCTTATTTTGTTCTGCGCTGAGACTTCTGCAGTCTGTGTTCACCTAAGGGAAAAACCAAGGCCTTCCCCGTTCATGCAGTATTCACGTGCCAAATTTGTGCAATACCTTTTGCCTTCAATGCGGGATGCTTGTTGCAAGCTACACACCTTGGGGGGGGGGTGGGGGTGGGAATAGTGGGTTCACAACAGAAAAAAAAAAAAAATGAAGAAGCAAAACAAGTCTTAAGGGGAGAGAAAAAGGGCCTGGAAGCGGAGAAGGTGCGAGCGCAGAGGCAGAGAGCAGCGTCCTGCCACCCCTCGTGCTGTGGAGCCAGCGGCTCCTTCGTTCGTGGTCTCTGTGCCTGTGTGCTCGAGCTACCGTGCGGCTTTTTTAGACCATCCACAAGCCTATAAACCGGCTGTTTCCAGCAGCGTCAGCGGTCCTGGTGTGCTCACCGCTGTTGTCCACAGCGCTTTAGCGCTTCCTATTCTGGTGGTTGCTCTCTGATGACACAGAGACCCAGGGAAGATAATGGTTGTTTAAATGTATCAACGTTTATATAGTAAATAAACTAGGTGACAGGAACATGCGGCAATTAATTTTTTAAAAAAAAAAGTCTTGTGAAATTGACTTGATTTGCTGCTTTTTGGGTTTTTTGCCTGAAACCAGGTAGACGGTACTGATCTTCTGCAACATGGGGAGCCCCAACTTCTCAAGTTGGTCTGGCCTTCTGTCATGACAATAAAACACAAATCTCCTGCCTTGGCAGCTCCAGTTTCGCTTCTTTTCCTGAATAGATGAACGCTCCTGTGATTATTATTTTTTTTCCACACACGCTCACGGAGCTGGAAAGCTTTGGCCAAGCACACCTTGCGTGGAGGAGCCGGGTACCGGGCGCCGCAGCAGGGCGGGAAGGAAGCGCAGAGATGCTCACCCGGCTCGGCCCAGCCCCGCGGCAGGACGGGGCTCTCTGCTGGGGTCCCAGCTGGCCGCACCAGCCTCCTCCACAGCCACGGCCAGGAAAGGCTTTTCTCAGGCGGCTCTTGCTGGCCACCACAACAGGGGAAGCGGTCAAAGCTGTCCTGTCCGTTTTGGCCTTTTTCTGTGAACCTTCAGTAACCTCTAAGCCCATCGGTGGATTTTTCTTTGGGTTTACCATTTAAGGGCTTTCTTCCATCTTTGTAAGTTTAAACAAAAATGTGAAAGTGACATTATGCTTGGTCTTGGGGGGCTTGTCCCCTTTTAAGGTTTCAGTACTGGTTTTGTTGCCAGACACACTGCAAATGGATAACAACAGTCGCCTGTTTGCAAGTGTTTTGTGGCCGCTCAGAAAGGGAGTTGTGTGATACTTTCTGGGTTTGTTGAGCAGGGTTTTTTTTTTTTAGCTGAAGTATTTTACTTAACTGTTGCCACTTCCTGGAGCCAAACACTAAAGGTCACCAAATTGGAAGCAGAAGTGCCATTAACTGAACTCTGTGAATGTCAAGTCAAGTTGCACCTGTAGCTGGCACATAAGACAACACTATTGAGGGGATGATCTCCCTCGCTGTAACTTTTTTTTTTTTTTTTTAAGAAAAATAAAATTACAAACCTCATTTTAAATGTGTTGTGTAAAATGTTTCAGGAAAGGAGTATGGTGTGTTATGTCTAGTGGGTGAGACCTCCCTCCCCAACTCAGTTTCTGATGAAGTTTTAAAGAATCGTGTTACTGTATGTTTTGATCATGAATAGTCTGGTGGTGCTTCCTCATAGCACAAGCTTAAACCAAGTACTGAAAACAGTCTTACAAGCTAAATGTCTGCATGATGTTACATCTGTTGTACCTACTGAAAAGAACTTTGTATGTAAATGTACAGAATAAAATGACGTTGTCCCATCAGTTTGCTCTCCTTGGTCTGGCTCCCTCACAGCGACTTCTGAAACAGCCCGGCAGCAGCTAATGTCAGTGACACCTCAGCAAACAGTCCTACCCTGCTCTACCAACAGAACGAGATGACTAAATCAGGCTAATTAAACCAGCACATTGATTTGCAACTAATTATCCTTTATAGTCACTCACAGAAGAATAGTTGACTCTGTTTCCTGAGTGGTGTAAACTAAAAAGAAAATACCCTCCAACAGTTGCTTTTTGCTATTCTGATCCTGAACTGCGGACAAGGACCAGTGGCTGTTCCCACCAGGTAAGGAAGGAGCCTCTGCGGCCACAGCAAATCTCAACATTGGAGCCACGGGGTGCTTGAACCCCTTTTGGGCAAGGGACCCATCAGGGGTTGTGCCTTCTACATCAGCAACCTCTCGGCTACAGGTTTTAACTGCTAATTATGGTGCCACAGCAAGGTAAGCTCATCAGCTTTGTGTAGGTTGTCAGGACAGCTGTCTAGCAGCTTTTGTTTGTGTCAGAAGCTTATGTTTGAGTTGGGGCTCAACTTGCAATGAAAAAGAAGTAACCTGGACTGGCTCCCGAGGTCGCTAGGCTCCGTGCTCCCCCAGATGGCTGCGAACACGGGCTCTGAGGGGTTTTGGTATAGTTAACTTTTAGCTGTCCTTCTCACTGAACAAAACAGCCCACGCATTGGCCTTTGAAAGGATAGCTATCCTACCTAAAAGCAAAACCAGAGAGGTAGCACCAGGGTGCTTTGCAGTGGTGGCGATTGCTCTGATTTTTCTAACGAGTATGCTCAATTTACACACATGATGCTCTTCCAGCAGCCTGGAAGATTTATCCATTGCTCTGAAATTCAAACCGTGCTTTTTCCTTCTACGTAGCCCTGGGGATGTACAGATAACCCTTTGTGAAGCCCATCTAGCGCTCTCAGTGTCCAAGAGATGGAAGGAAAGCCAGTGTTTAGCACTAATACTACCACCAACAAGGGCTAAAAGGAGCAAAGTAACACTCGTTTTATGTTACACCTTTACAATACAAAAATGTGGGGGTTTTTTATTTGAACACTAAAAGCTCTTTACTGTGTTCAATACCAATATATAGTAGATTAATTGTACAGCTAGAATTGGGAACTGATTTCCCAGCAGTTCGCACTACTGAAGAGTGCATGTAGTGTCTGGCCTCCATGACAATGATGTTCATACATTGCAGCATATTTTGTACTCTACTTACCTATCCCCTACTTAACAGGGTAGCAAATTTAAAAAAAAAAAAAAAAATAATCCAGGTCCAACTGTATTTAGGTCCATCTATATTTAATAACTGCAAATTAAATCAAAACAATACAAAACAAATATACTAACTTAGTGTGAAAATTGCAGTTTTTCTAAAACAAAAACTTCAGGTTATTTTACAGTGAAGCAATGTCAGAACTTCTCTGGAAAAGCCATCATTTCTTCTTTGATCCTGTTTTCTATGAGTAAGGTGAAACTGCTGTCTGTGTTTTGAAGATTGTAGCTGACAAATATCTGTTTTTTGGTCTTGCTGGCTAAAACACAAAAGAGACGAGTCAGCCATAGTTTGGTCTTGTATAAAAGTGATGATGGTATTCAAGCAAGCCTTTTAAAAAGCCGTATCATGCAGATTCCTAAGACAACATTCTCCACTCCTGCTATGCTGGACCCAGTTATAAAGGATCAGCAGAACAAGTACCTGAGCACTGGCACGCTGGGCAAAACTGTGCACGTCACTGAAATGGGCACTATAAGCCTGGGGACTATCAACTAGTTTTTGGCCAGATGCAAAAAGCCATTAGTTACTGGAAAGCTTCACAGTGCTTTTAGTGGATTTTGGATGCTTCTTAAATGTAGTACAGTTTAAGTGAACTTATTGTACATTGGACTCTTAGCACTGAAATCTAGTTTATGAGTTGGTAAGTCTATGCTGTGAAAAACAATTACAGAGGGAAAGGACACAAGAAAGTGATTAGGCCCCAATCAACAAAGTTCTATTTTATTATGAACCCCTAAAAAGGCTCCAAAAAGTGTGCACCAGTCTTGTCTAAGCCTGCTGTCAACAATTTTGTTTCCTTTAACCTTTGTTTATGTGGTGTCCAGGAACACTGCAAGAGCCTGGATAGCCTGGGTTGAACGTGATGAAGCCAAGCACAAGTTCCAGGCTACTCTAGTGACAAATACCTAGGGGGAGGTGCTATAAAATTAAGAGCTGTCTTCCATGACAGAGCTAATTAACAGTGACAAAAATAATGTCCACTGGGGCAGGAAGGCTTAATTATCAGAGTAGAACAGATAACACCAAGAAGTGTTTTATAAACAAAGTGGAATCCTACTTAGATTTTACCATAGTACTATAGCAAATTTGTAACTTTATACATCGCTAAAGGTAAACTTTGTGAACAATGTAGGCACAATAGAGGAGAAATAGGCACTAAATTTAAATTGAATTGTGTAAAATAGAAGACAAAAAATGGCATTTGGGTCATGAGATATTCTTGGCAGGGAATGAGCTGGGAGCTGATGATCCCAGAGACCCTGTTCTGCTGAATATTCGAAAATTACATCCAAATTTAAAAAATTTAAAATAAAGACACCAGAACTCCTAATATCTCAATCTTTTCTAAACGGGAAAGTTAACTACAGAAAACCTATATATACATACAAAATGTAGTTAAATGACACCTTTGAGGCATTTTCATTATGCAAATCAATTTATTATTTTCCACGCTAACAGGTTACCAGCTTCCTGGCTCAATAAGTAGAGCTGCTTCTGAAATGCAAGGACTCATTTGCCTCTTAAGATTTAGCATTAGAAAATGCTGATATAATGCAGCATGTTGCTCTGATTGCAAAAATTGGCACTTGGCACCAGATGTGGTGGCATAAAGCAGCATGTTTTGTAAGCACTAGCGCTTCATCATCATGCCCTGAATGAATGCAACGCTAATTCTGAACTAATTAATACCATTACCCTAGCTAACGAAGCTGTATCGTGCACTTCAGTGACAAAACTCAACTTCTTAAGCTCTGGCAGCATGGACCTGCTCCTACGACCTCACGGACAGGGCCGAGGCCCGAATCTAACCTTGCAGAGAAGCCCAGTGGGAGCAGGAGAACAGACAGAACAAGTGTTAGGCTTAAGTCTGTAGGTTATTTGTGCTGGAAAAGAGGCAGTGGAGGGGAACTGTGCCCAGCTGGGAATGACTCAAAGAAGAGGCTGAGGAGATCTTCGCCGAGAGCCTGCCAGTCCCTACAGAGGGAAGACGAAGACATGGAGCTACTCAGCAGCCACTGCGGCCGAAAGCGCCGCGATTTCGGGATATGCAGGTAAGGGAGGCACTAACAGGCAAGAGTTCCTCAAGAATTGGTATCCACTAACCTACAAGGAACAATTTTTTCGGATTTGTGTTTCTTGACTAGTGAGACGCATCTCGTGCCGGAGCAATCAGGCAGAGTGGTGAGAAAGAGGCCCTGCACCTAAAACAAACAGATATAAAGAGAAATAGGTAGAAACAGGAGTAGGAACATGGCAAATGTGTCTTCAGCAATGGAAAAGCAAAAAAAAACAACCCCGAAGTAACAGAGAAGATAGGGCCAGTACACCAAATGCAGCTTTTCTGGCTCAGATCCCTACCGGGCTATAGAGACAACAATGGGAGAAAGTGCACACGGATGCACCGCAGCACTGAAATTCCTGCTCAGGGCAGGGAACCTGACACTGCAGGAACAAACAGCAGGTGATGGAATGCGACTGAGAAGTATAAGATATAAAAATACTTATCTTCAAATACTTATCTTCAAATGGCATCGTATGCTACTTAAGTCCGTGCCTGCAATGATCAGAATGGAAACAGCATGGGAAAAATGGTGACAGCATAGGGGGAGAAAAAAAAAAAAATAGAAATATTGCCTGCCTGAAGATTACCACATGGCAGGATGTTTAAAAAGGATACTTTGGAAGTATAGCTACAAGTCAGATTTGGCTGTGAATATCACCTCTGTTACAGAATTTGTGGGAGTAACAAGGATTTAATTTCCCAGAGGAAAACCCACTGGTAACAGCAAAGCTTGGTATTTCTAGTCAAGGCAGAACACAGATTTCCTTACTGAGCACTTTGTAAAAGAAAGAAGATACAGAGCTGCTTAATGATGATCTTGCAGATCCACTGGTTTCAGGAGAATAAACAATTTTGGAATAAGTGACCATGAGCCAACTTAAATTGCTGGACTGGCAGAAGCAAACCTGAAAACTAAGGCGCAGGGTTTCAGAAGGAAGATTTTTTTCTCTTCTTAAAACTCAGCTATGATCAGGTGAAGAGGAAGCATGTAATTATTCAAAGCCAGAAGCATATTATTGACTTTCTCTTTCCAACCAAAGCTAAAAAGGTCTACTGGCCTTCCTCAATACAGTATACCTAGTATAACTTAAGCAGGATAGCATGAGTAAGAATTCTATCTGTAACGAATGTAAAAGGGACTGACCAGCAAGGAAAACTGCAACCCAGAGGTTAGATGGCATGGGTATATAAGAATATTTCCCAAAAGCCTAGCTGGGACACAGCTGGCACAGAAAGCTTAGGACAAAATAATGACAGACAGTTAAAGCACAAACAGAAAGAAAATTGGAAGGTGCATTACACTCTGAGGATAAAGAGTAACTGATATCCGAGTACCAGGCAACACTATCAGTTCTCAGTAACAAAGTACGTGAAATTAGAAATGTAAATGAAAAAAGGACTTTTTTTTAAAAAACAAAAAAAAAAAAAAAAAAAAAAAAAAAAAAAAAAAAAAGGGGCATCAGAACAGACCACTTCTAGGGAGAGGAATTGGGTGACAGAGGTGACAGGACAGCCTCTGTCCCAGAGCACTGAAAGAACTAATATAAGGAATAACAACTTATTACCAACTCTAGCTATGAAATTTGTAATAAATCTTTTAGGAGTGAAGATAGCACATGTACTAAAAAAAAAAAAAAAAAAAAAAAAAAAAGAGATTGGGAGTTACTTAGAGCTGTTAGCTGAACACTAACGTTACACAGAAACTTAGAGCAAGATTCAGAAGAAATGAGTTATGAGGAGACCAAACAGGAAATGGAATAAACTGTTACACTTCATCCAAAGTAAACCCTCTCTAACTACATTTTTACTGACTGACTTCTTAAGGATAATGCACTAATTACCCATAAACATGTTATACAGAGTAACCCACAAAATTATTACTTAAAGTGGAAATGACCGAAGCCAGTATGCAGGAAAAGAACTGCCACCAGAGGAGACTACACCAGTGGTTATTAGAAGATAAGTTATCAGGAATAAGAAAAGATGCTAGCCCTGTTTTTCAAAGATCAGTCTTGTGAGCAACCCATTTTTACATGTGTTAGTGGCCATACAGAAGAAGTAGGCGTAGACTTGTGAAACTGCCTGACAATGCAAATTCGGGACACGCTGCCCATAACAAAGATCAGAACATTACGTGGCCTTTCCAAATGAAGCAACAGAAGTAAGATGAGATTGAGCAGCGTGTTGCATTTAAAACCCGGTAACAAGTACTTCAGCAGGTCACCAGTCGGAGCTGCAGCAGTTACTGGTGGGTGATGATGAGTAACTGGCACGATGCAGCTGTCAGAGATGTGAGGGTGCGAGGATGTGGTGTTAGGCCGAGTGGTTTTTTTTAGAAATACCGGGGTTTGAAAGTTAGCGTTCAGATTCAGAAATGTGGCTAGGCCAGCGCTGCCCTAGGTACAGCAGGACACTCCTACACGTGCTGAAAAGGGAGACGTCCCGAGAGGGGCCCGGCACGCGCCGCAGGGACAGTCCGACCAAACACCGCGAGATGATCCAGGACTTTCCGGGCCGGAACTCCCCAGAATTGGGGGGGCTAAAAGGTGCAATGAGGTGTGGCTTCATCTTCAGGCAAAACACAAGTGCCTCTCGCATGAGAGCCACCCCACAGCCCAGAGGCACTAGAACTTTATGGAGGGGAACTCACTGGGAATCCCTCTCGCTAGGCACAAGTGCAAGCAGCGCCCCCCCCCCCCCCAACCTCACACCCAAAATCAGGGCCAGGATGTTAACTAACAGGCTTTTGATTAATGCTCAGCGTGCCTGGGGGCAGAGAGCTGGGGAAAAAAAAAAAAAAAAAAAAAAAAAAAAAAGGAGAAAAAATAGTAGAAATAAAAATATAAATTAAAATAGAAATAAAAATAGAAATAAACATAAGAATAAAAAAAGAAATAAATAAAAATAGGAATAAAAATAGGAATAAAAATAGGAATAAAAATAGGAATAAAAATAGGAATAAAAATAGGAATAAAAATAGGAATAAAAATAGGAATAAAAATAGGAATAAAAATAAATAGGAATAAAAATAAATAGGAATAAAAATAAATAGGAATAAAAATAAATAGGAATAAAAATAAATAGGAATAAAAATAAATAGGAATAAAAATAAATAGGAATAAAAATAGGAATAAAAATAGGAATAAAAATAGGAATAAAAATAGGAATAAAAATAGCGGGTGGCAGTGGAGGCTGCCGGGGCCAGCGAGCACCGCGTCCCCCCGCGGCGGCTCCAAGCCGGCCCCGCGTGTTCTCGCCACCCCCGTGGAAAGGTCATCCCCCCCCCGGCCCCCCACACGTACCCAAGCGCTGGGCCAGGCAGGCGGAGGTGGTGTCCGAGGGGTCCCCCAGGAGCGAGGCGGCCACCGGGATGCTGTCCTGCAAACGGAGCACGGCGCAGGGCTCAGTCCCCGGCAGCGTGGGGCCCGGTATCCCCCCCCACACCCCCCGCAGGGCCGCGGCGGCCGGACTCACGCGTGGGCTGCACATGGCGACGGCCAGGCTGGCGAGGGCGGGCGCGGCGCCCACCCAGAGGAAGAGCGAGTCCCGCAGCCTCATGGCGTGGAAATGCACCCGCTGCTCGCCCAGCCGCCCGCTGAAGTCGTGCAGGGCGATGCCGCCCGCCGGGACCCCCCTTCCCCCGCCGCCGGCTTCCTCCTCCTCCTCCTCCTCCTCCTCCTCCATCGGCCCCGCTCCCGGCTCGGCCAGGCCTCGGCAGCCCGGCCCGCCCCGCGGCCCGGGGAGGCGGCGCTCCGCTCCGCTCCGCTCCGCTCGGACCCACGCCCTGCGCCGCTTCCGTGGGGCTCCCAATCCCCGCCCTGTCCCACCCCCACGGCGGGGAAGGGGAGGGGGAAGGACGCGGCCGCCTCGGCTTCGCTCAGCTCTGGAGGTTTTCGGGGTTACGGCGGGGGGGGGATGTACAAAGCGAGGGAGCCGGGCGGGCGGAGCTGCGGGGAGTAGGAACCGGGAATAATTAAAGGCCCTGCTCTGGGGATGGGCGTGGTGCCCGGCACGTGTTCTCCGGAGCACGGCTGAGCTGGTCGTTACTGAAAAGGGTTTTCCTTAACTGTGGAAGTTAAGAATATAGATTAGAATAATACTAAGAATATAGGCAGCAGGCTGATGTTAGATAAGAATAATAAAAAAGTATAGGCAGCCGGCTGATGGCCGTGGGCCCTTGACACTTGGAGACACGTATCCTCACGCTGCAGGCAGGGTGATCACCTCTGTCTAAAGAACGAGCAAGCTAATGATACAGATCGGGGATTTAATCGGTATTTCCTCTGCCCCCAATTTCATACCTAGAAATCAAAGTTTCCATTTCCAAGCTCTAAAACTTCATTTTCACGCTGAGGAAAAAAAAAAAAAAAAAAAAAAAAATGGAGGAACCGTTCATCACTTTTCCTCCCTAAACTGCTCCAGTTCTGGCATCTGCCAAAAGAGAAAATCCTCAGCCCTGCTGATCTGAGCTGCCACATCGATGCCAAAGCCCAGGAGGCAGCTAAGCCCGGCTCAGCTGCCATACCCCGACACCCCACGGCGCAGGATCGGCTTGGGGAGAGGCGGGAGGGGGGGGTCATAGGCAGCCTCCTCTGCCCCACGTTTGTCACTTGCTGCTCGCACAAAACGTTATGGGGTGGGTGGTGGCAGACTCTCGGCCTACGCCTGTCGCGGTGTCAGGGGCTTGTGCTGGTGCCCAGCTCTCCCCGTGCCCCGGCTCTGCAGCCTTTCCCTCCGCGTGGGTTGGCCTCCCGCAAGGCGAGTATGTGCAGAGGCTGCGGCTCAAAAATCAGCCTCTGCCTGTCCCGGCAGCCTGGTGCAAACTGGCAGCACTTCACCGGTGGCAACTGCAGAGATCGGGCAGGCAAATAGGTGACAAAAACCGCCTTGGAAGGGGGCGAGGGCTGGCTGTGCGCACCAAATGCTTCCCTCTGCATCACGTTCATTACTCGGCGAGGGACGGAGGCCGCCAGATAAAAAAGGGAAAACAGTGCTGGAAGCATTGCGGAAATAAAAAACTAGGCAGTGGATAAAATATCTGCTGGGAGCCACACAGGTGGTGGTGGTGAGATTCCTGTGATTAGACACCTGCGGGGGGTGGAGGAGATTTGCCCCTGGCTTGCTTGATCAGGGGAGAGAAGCAGGCAATTTTAGGGCATGGCTCATCAGAGTTGCTTTAGATCTCTCTTTTGAGTGAGAAGCATTCCTTCCTGACTGATTTCCATTGACTCCAAGGGAGGTTAGGGTGAAAGGTAAGAAATGCAAGGCTTTGCAGGCAAATTTATTCATGTAAGTAAAACTTCCAAGTGTTTAGAGCCAGTTTCTCTGCTACACTGGGACAGAGCTGGCTTGTACCATGGCGTCTCAGTATAAGATCTGTTCTGACAAAGATCCAGCCCAGCATGTCTCTTCCCACCAAGCAGGAGTTTGGGCCTCCTCGCATGCTAAGTGTACGTTTAAATGATCTGCTGGATCAAGGCAAGAGTCTTCCATTTACTGCCCTGGTCTTACCATACCAAGTACAAGTTTCCTTTGTTGCTTCCAGTGCTGTCTACAGGTTTGCTCCTCCCTAGGGGTAAACTGCCCCTATTTCATCAAGCTTTGATCTGTTCCTCTTCTCATCAGTGGTCTTCTCGACAGTGCTTGTAGCTGTCATTGGGATCCTAATACCTGCAGGCCTCAGAAGGTAAGCCATGGGGTTCCTCTGTGCATAAGCAGTTCTGCGTATTTAACGCTTTTCTGTGAAATGTAGCTGTTATCTGTAGATCATGCTAAATCCTTGTTTAAGTGCAAGAGAGAAAAAACATTCAACTAGCAAGTAAAATGCTGGGTAAGCATTTTTATTTGCAATGCAGGTATGAAGAATGAGTGGAGCAGTGCAGAACCAGACAATCAAGTGTGAAATGAATTTCCTAATTATAGGGCTTCAAGGCCATCAGAGCCCCTGCAAAATGAGAGGGCAAAGCTCTCCAGAAGTGTTTGGAACTTCTTGCCTTATCTTTAACATGTTCATCTTTTTCCTGCGACCAGGAAAACAGCGCCCTTTAGTCTGCCTTATTTGTCAGGTATGAGGCTAGAATGAGCCTCAGCTGCAGTGAGGCACCTGATAGCAAACTAATGACAAAGCAAAGATACTGTAGCATGTGTGTATGGATGTGTGTATATATATATTGCTGCTCAGAGGCGTTCCAAGCCCCAGGAGATGTGGTTTAAAGGTACGTACTTCTGTGCTTCTTGTTCTCCAAAACTTAGGTTGCCCACAAGAGTTACTGCCTGCTAAACCTTGATTTTTACTGCCCATCCTCTCCCCTCCAGTACAGTTTTAAGCCAGGAGTAAATCTTCTTGGTAACTGAGTTGTTAAGAGATGTAAAGCACATAATTGTTACCTGGGATGTCACTGAGAGAAGAAAATGTTTTCTGATTCCAAAATGCATTCTGCGCTTTTGCTCCTCCTGCATGAGGAAGGTGTGAATTTGACACATGAGAAAGAAGTTGACCATTACTCTGTGTCAGTGAACCCTCTGTTGATGCCTCAGGACATGCCAGTTTTCTTCGTTGGTTGTCCTTTTGCAGAGGAGTAAATGACTGCTAGATAAAGCCAAATGAAGCTTCCCAGCCACTCCAGTGAGGCTTCCTGGTGCCAGGATGCTGCAACAGTAGGTGTGCCGCAGCCCGAGATTTTGGGAACCGGCTTTGTGTTGAGACATGGAGACTCTGTGTGTAGGCTTCCCTCAGTGGCACTGGTGGCTGAAGGGGTCCTCTTTTCTCCCTGTGCCATCGGGGCACCTGAGGAGCTGAAAAAATATTTCCTTTTTTATCATTGTTGGATTGTTTTTCTCAGCTGGATCAGTCCTCTGATTTAGTTTGCTGTGCTACTGCTCAAATACTTGCACTGGCATTGTGGAGGGCAGCAACCAGGCAAGCAAGCAAAAAAGGGCAAAATGTCTCTGCTCACACTGTACAGTCACCACAGCTGTGATGCAGTGGCCATCTAAACCAAGGTTTAGGTGGGGCTGCCCCCATCCTGCTTTCTAGTGCTTATCTGATGTGATGATGAGTCAGTCTGGGAATCAACCTGGTCAAAAACTATTCCTGGGATGGGAAGTTTGTTGAGCTGTGACAGTAAACTGCTCCTGAAACATCTAACCTCAGCCACAGGACTCTCTTAACCTGAGGGCTCAAAACACTTTGTCAAGATGGTCAGCCTGATTTATGGTCCTCCAAAAAAAAGAGACAGGAAGAGAATCCAGGCTGGAACTTTTGAAAGAGTTGCAGAAAAGGGTGGAATCAGACTGGTGACATGTATGAAAATCACAGGTTAAGAGATCTGCAAGGGGACTGCACCAAAGTCATGCCATGAATCTCATGAGCCAAAGCAATATATAGGCCAGCCCCACCCAGCACACCCCCCACACACCTGCCCAAAAGCCAGTGTGTGAAAAAGCACCCGTAAGCAAATGCAAAATGTAGATGTACAAGCAATTCCACATCTGCAGTAGCTGCTATGACAGTGTTAGCAGAACTGCTATAATAATTCCTCAGTGCATTTGGTGGTACTTAGGTAGGCATTGCTCTGAGGAAATCCAGTTCCTGATTTCCAAAAGACTTTAGGTACCAGCGTTTTCCCTTGTGGAAAACCCTCTTCTTTTTTGTGCGGTTTGTAACCTCAGCTGTTGGGATTTCCCTGCCCAAGTGGGATGAGGCCTGGGATGCACGTGGCACGGCGCTACACTGACAGGCAGCTTCTTGTGATCCACTGCGCAGAGTATTGGACTAGAAATCAGGGCTGTGAGGTTTTGTGCCTGACGAGCAGGGTGACCTTGTGCAAATCCCTTCTGCTCTGCTTTATTTTATTACTCTGCAGGCTGGAAGACTACAATAACCCTTGCCTATCACCCTGCAGCTGAATGAAAGTCTGTGTAGCACACAGCTCATAAGGACCTTTGTGAGCCTAGACTAAATTTGTGCTGTTACCAAACGAGACATTTTCCTTTTGTTGTTTTATGAGTCATTGAAGGAACTTGTCTTAGATCTGTTGGAGCATTTGAGACATGTGGGTTCACTGCTGCTGGACAGGAGGCATGAACACAGTGACTCATTGCTCTCCTTGGGGACAAGAAGAGGTTTATGCAGTTGACTGGAAATCATATTTTCTATGCAGATAGACAGCTTCACAGTAGAGAATCCCGAAGCAGCTTACAAACACTGACTCTGGTGCATAAAAGCCAGTGAAAATAGCGAGATCTGCAGTTGCAATGGGCTATTACATACCTGTGACCTGACACAGAAGGGAACGGGCATGAAAGCCTAATGGAAATGAGCTTTTGAAGGGCTGAGAAGGGAAGAAAAAAAAATGAGATAGTATTGAAAAATCTTTTCCCTTATACTGCTCAATTCATTGCCTAGATCCCACATGACACAAAGCACACCTGATGGGTCCTGCTGTTGTTCTGTCCCTGGGTCACCCTGCGGGACGCAAGGCGGGGGTACATCGTGTGTGTGAGCCAGAGGGGATGCCAGTCTGCTGCTGACTCGTCTGCTCAGGTTGCAGAGTTTTGTTCTTAGCCATGGAAATCACTGATTCAATGTATAGTGCCGGCAGCCACATAAAGGTAGGTTTGATCGAGATTCAGGTTGCTTTGGGAGGGGAAAGAAATCCCATTTTTTTGAAAGGTAGTTTGCTATTGTCATGGCTATGCAACTTGCCACAGTTCTGATCACTTCTCCCTCCCTCTGGGTACTTTTCCTTTGCTGGTGCCAGCATTTCCATTAATCTTCTTTTCCTCCTTAGACTGGGTCTTGGACGTAATAGTCTCTGTCACAGAGTC